AATACTCAACATATGGAGGAAGTCTAAAGCCTTTCAAACCACTTAATGAGAAAGCCATGGATATGAACAGCAGAAGGAAAAAATCTAAAATGGGAGGAAGATGCCTATATCCTACCATGCTAATTTATATTGTTAGAGTGGAAAGTAAATGGCAATGTTAGCTACGCTGAGGATTTTCAAAAGTTGTATTTATTTTTGAGTTTCTTTCAAAAATAATGTTCCAATAAATATGCAGCACGCTGTGTTTGTGGCACTGGTAGTGTGTCCATCACCATGGCACCTGAGCACTCAAGCAAATGATTAACCATCAGAGCAAATGAAACAGAAGCTAAGAGCCATCAGGCACTGTGACAAACTCTTCATAGACCTTATGTATGCCAGTACGTCTCTGTCTGGACTTTTACTCCTTCAGGCTTTCCACTATCCTCTCTTTCCTGTTCTTATGATAAACAGGTCTTTTTTTTTCAAGCAGTGGTAAGGGATGCAGAGATCTCAGACTGGTTTTGGAGAAAGAAGAAGAAAAAACAACAAAAAAAAACAGTACACATTTTCATCAGGAAAACATTGCTTAAGACACAGTAAGGAAAAAAATAATTTTCATTTGCACAAACCAATTATGAATCAACAAACTTTGTTATGTCTGCCCTGCCATCAGCTTAACCCTTAAATTACTTCTCCGAAGAAGGAAAACAAGTCTTTCTTCACTGAGGGCCAATATGATCTTTCAGGAGCCTGATGCAGACCATACTTGAACAATATTGTTGGCATTATCTAATAATAGTGAAAAGAACACATAAAAAACATATGGCTATGTGCCTTCTTCAAAAAGTCCAGAGATTGCATCAGGCCCTCCCACACTTCAAATAAGCAGTAAGTTAATGACAACTCCACTGATGTTTGTTTAACATATGTGTACATAACTACTGTTTCTGGCTTGGGATGCTTAAGCAGAGACCTCTGGGGTTTTAGAAAAAAAAATTAAAATCTTCTGTTGGATCATCTACCCCTTGTTGTTTTGTTTTGTACAAAATCTCTGAGGGGCACAGGAAAGCAGAGGGCCCTGCATGCAGGCCAACTTTACAAAGGCTAGATCCTTTCAGTACTGGAGAATTGTGCAGTTATAATACAACACTCACTGAAGAAGTTTCCTGTTTTCCATCACTAATCAAGGCAATGACACTGCATTCTAATTAAATTGGTGTCACATGGAGTTTTTCCTCTTCACTGCTTCAGACTTAGCAGGTAGATACATCCTCTTCATTCCAGTTTATCCTTTAAAGAGGAGTAAGTTTTGGGGACAATGCCACATTGTTAGCAATGAAGACTGAAGTGCTCACTTCCCAGGGCAGGTACAATGTGCTGTGCTGCCACTGTGCCTCAGCAGCAGTTTTGAAGCCCATATGGAGCACTTTACCGCCCACCTCTATTTGACTGTGAAACTCTGTATTAAAGTTCACTCTAAGCATCAGTCTGATTCTGTTACCTCTCCTGTGTCTAAATTATATCCATCACTGTCATCTCTAAAGACTCAGATCTTCTGTGCACTTCATCAGGCATTATAATCGAAGCTAATGAAAGATATGTTTGTTTAGCTGTTGTAAATGGCTTTGAAGATCTTGGGTTTCAGCAAGGGTGATGAATTGAGGATGTCAGCTGGGCAAACAGTTTAATTTTGAATGAGTTTAGCTAAAATGGATTACTGAAAAAACAATATGGATTTTTCAAATTCATATTATTTAACATACTTTACCAGTAAATATTTTACCCCTTCTTGCCATCTGACTCACCAAGCATAAACTGAAAGAATCGGCAATGATATTCAGCTTCTCAAATATGAGACTAACTTTGGTGATTATAAACAGGTGTAAGAAGCCACTTTTGACTGCAGCAGGGAGTACAGCCCTCAAACAATTTACCCCTCAGCAGACTAAATTTCTGCATAATAGCAATTCTGTAAAGCAGCCTGAACATGGTAATCAAAGTGTTTTATAAGAAAATTCAGAAAGCAACAACTGCAAAAGACTATTCCATAACACAGTTATTTATTGGAAGTACCTGGTTTTTTATTCTCCCTGGTACATTTTCAATGAATTAAAATAATAACTTAAGGGGAAAGAAAATTATCTTAAAATAGCCATGGGTTTTTTTCCTCTCTCAGGTAATTGGGAGTCAGGAAGAATCCAAAATAACAGCATGATTGTTGAAAATTACAGGGTAAGGTTGGAAATGTCTAGAGGTCATCTAGTCCAACCTCATGCTCAAACCAGTGCCACCTTAGAACAGGTCACTCAGAATTAAAAAGGAAAGAAAATCATTTAAAGAAAAAAATTAAAGAAATATTATTTTAAAAGTGAAGTCTTTTACACCAAAAGAGGAAAAAAAAAATAAAAAAAGCAAGGTAATATTTTCTTGAAACATATAGCTCTTTTGGGCTGTTTGTTAGTAAATATGACCAACTTGGAAAATAGATTCAAGCTGCCTCCTTTGGTTGACCTACTTCCCTTTCTGTCTTGATGCAGGTAACATTTAAGCACAATGTGTGGCAAACTCCAACTCAGTTGCCAGTGCTACTCTGCCACACTGCTGGCCAGAAAAGGCTAGGAATGCTGCAAGTTCAGCTCCAGTGACAGAGAAAATGCTCCATAACATTCATTAGCAGTCCCCTCCAAGATAATTAAGGAATGGAGCCAACAGCTGCTGAGGAGGGTTCCACCCCGTCTTTCCCTGGGAAAGCAAGGCCTCTAAGGCAGGGCCTGGACTCTACAGCAAAGAAGAATAGGGTGGGGAAACCTTGCAAGATCTCAGTGAAACCCAGATGACTCATCAGAAAGTAAAACGTTTCTATTTTGGCAAGAGGCTGAAATAGCAGCCCTGGGTTGTGCTGCAACACAGCAATAAATGACCCTGAGCGCTTGGGACAAACTCCTGTGCACACTGATATTCCTAACAGTAGGGGCTATTTCACATCTCATTAAACAAAGAGGTTTACATGACAATTAACACATTAATTAGCACCATCTTTTTCACAGTTGGAATTTCGGCTTGAAATTTCAACATTTTTAGACAACTGTTTTGTAAGTGAAAATGAATAGGTTTTTTACGACTCAAGGTCATAAAAAGGTGACACTTAAGGTGACAAGGACTCCTATGCAGAACTGGCATAGAAGTATATTTGTGTACTGAAGGACACTGCAACCAGTCCACGGCCTTTCCCATAACTTCTATGCAAGGAGGGCCTCCCTGTACAATCTCCACCCTGCCATTCAAAGCCTGGCCCTCGGCCTCAGCAAGGTGCCAGGCTGGACACTTCATAAGCTGACCATAGACAAGCCCAAAGTCACACAGGGGCAAAGCAAAGCCTGGATTTCAACAAGCAGTAGCTCCCATTCCTCAGCCCCAGCGGCTGACCTGTGTGGCTCCCCACTACAACAATCCTTTCGACTGTACCTGTAGAGATGTGACCTGTGGGAAAACTCTCCAGCAAACACCAAAAAGCAACACTGCTAATTTCACTGAAAATAGGTAACAGCTATAAGAGAATGTTTATTGCCCAAGAGCTTCACATTTTAGATACAGAGCTAGTAACTTCTGCAAGGGACCACTTTAAAGAAGAGTTGGTATATGTACAGATATCCTTAAACTGCGTGTATCTTTCTCTCTGAGGTTTTTGTTCAATACCGTCTTTAATTTCTATTTTCTTTTGAGAGAATGGATTTTCAAGTATAAAAGAAGACACAGAATACTGGAAATGGAATGAAGGGAATTAAAAATTGGCAACTGGAACTTGTAGCTTTCAAGACCAGGTGGATTCTGATATTCATGGGGTCCATTCCTATCAGATGGATGTTGCCAACCCATGAAAAATAGCGATATGGTTTGTATATGTTATCTTTCACCTCCCTCGGGTACATACTGTAAGGAAGTATGTATAAACAATAATAAACAATGTATAAACTAACAATAATCATATTAATATTTTATGTGTTTTGGCACTCAAGGCACAGATAAATCATTGTGTCACAGCCTTACCTATCATACCACTTACAAAATAAATCTATGCTCAAGAGGAACACCAGATAACTTTTCCTTTGATTAGCTTTTCAAAGCTGATGATAGTTTTTAGAATATGATTTATTTATTTTATTTATCACCCTGCCTTGTTTCATATGGGTACTGTTTTACTGACCTCTAGATACCCTTGCACTTTGTCTGTGATATCCCCAGAATGTCAATGCTTTGATTCTTCATCTCTCATTTCCTAAACGTTTCTTATTGGTCACTTCTGCTACTAGTGGCAGCTGAAGTGGAAGTTTATCCTCTGATAATCTGTACTGCTTTAATGGTTCCCACCATCCTGAGGATATTTTCCAAGTGTTATGGTGACACCAGCTGAGATCTTGGCAACAGAAAAGTGTTTCATATGTTTATTTCCTAAGTTAGTCTTTTGGGGTTTTTTTCTGCTTTCCCAACCCTCTGTCACTCCCTTGATTTCTATGGCTCAGCTCCTTTTGTTATTGCTATATTCTTTGTTATCATTTCTCAGTTTCTTTCTGGTTATAAAGCCTTTGAAGAACCCGAGGGCATTCCCAACATTCATCCAAAAATCTCTTAGTAAAGAGATGAGCAAAAATTTCTGCTAAAAGGAACAACAATAGTTACATCTTATTTATATATTTATCTGTAAACTAGAGTCTAGGAACTATAGCACACAAACCTTGTAAAATGATAAGCATGTTTCAAATAGTTTTAATATTAAATATCACACATAAAACAGGTCACCAGTTTTAGCATGTCTCCAAAATAACATATGCTTAGAAATGCTTATCCTTGTAGCATCATCATCCTTTCTGTTTTTCCCAAGAGAAAATTAATCTTGCCCCGGCATGCCCAAAAAAGCAAAATTCTTGTATAATTTCAATCACTCAGTTTGCTCATGACTTTTATACAGCTGACTGAACATCTATTATCTCACCCGAAAGAGGAGCTGCGAGTTTGCTCACCTCGGTCACCTGCAGGATTTTAGAAATGCCTCCTCTTCTGTTCCTTCTAAAGAGTGCCTTTCCGCATTTCCCAGTCCATTCCCGAGTCCACTGAACATGCAGACATCAATAAGTTCTGGCTAAGTTATCCCACGTAACTCCGAAGAAAAAAGGAGACCCTTGCAGACGCCGCAGAAGGTCTTCTTTACTCTCTTAGAAAATTTAGTTTCCTTGGTGGTCTGTCACATTCAGGTCTCCGGTAGTAAACTGAACAACCTATCCTCCTGGCTCTTCTTTTCTTCTTTTTCTTTTCTGTAAACACATAATCAGGGCTTCAAATCCTTTAGGCATCACAAAACTGTATTTCTCTATTGCCCTCTACTGACTGCTGGGTAACGCCGCCTTGCCGGAGAACTGGCGAGCAACAGATAACACGGTAACGCGTTCCCCCTCCGCCCTCCCTCGGATCGATAATGATGCACGATGACCAAAAGTCAACACAAATCATTCTATTTTTCTCTTTGTTACAGAACACCAGGCAAGATTTCCAGCTTCTTGGCCAGCCGTGGTAGCTACAAAACACTAAACAACAGAAGCAGGAAGCAGTAATATGGCTCTGCTAAAGTGTTTGGTTTTTCTTTTTTTTTTTTTTTTTGGTGAACAAAAGCCAGGAGAAAGTACAGATGAATGCATTCTGCCTTGAAATGCAGACGAATTCACCCCATTGATGCCATAAATACTGTAGCGGGGATCTGAATGTTATCTGATTTTGAGAGTTCGGTCCTGGCAGAACTGGATGCATAGAAATACTGACTTAGCATGGGAGTTCTGCATGAAGGGGCTGGTAGAGAGCCATGAATTTAAGGCCATGGGTTTTGGTCATTTCTCCTTTGTCTCTAGAGTTCTGTTTAGCACATTCAGCACCACACCTAACATGGGAAACATCATGTGACCGGACCCGGGACAAGACACATACTGTGTATGAATGGCACGGGGAGTGGCTGTTGGCACTGCTTTTCGGACAAAGATGATCTATAATGCAAAGAGAACCCAGCGAACTACGATAAAAAAGGGAATGGTCCAGAGCTGTTTCGGGAGCAGAGAAAAAAAAAAATATAAGCATTTCAGCCAGACTGTAAGAGACCGAGAAGAAAAAAGCAGTGATGAGTGTACGAGTAGGGGGGTGGGGGACGGGGAAGCGGGTGGTGGAGAAATCAAAATTAATCCTTTGCATTGTATTAGTCACCGCTTAATAAGTAAAGCACAGTGCTTGCTAACCAGGCCACTCAGGCACTTGTTCTCACAAAAAAAAAGTTAACCCAGGGTGCTGGTGCAAGTATTCTGGCCCACCTGCACCACTCCAGGGGCAAGGAGAAGTCAGTCTGTCACCTCCAGGCAACAGAATAAATCTCCAGCACACTTCCCTTTTGCTAGGCAGAGGCTGGGAGAGAACATGGCATTATCTTGCTGTACCATTCTTTCTCTGCAACCAACTCTCCTAGGGAGCAAGCATGGTTCAAAAATTATAAAAACAGACCCACCCTTCAAAAAAGTGTTGGAAGTATTTTTCCTTAAGTGTGTTCAAAAAATACATTCATTTTTCCCCCACCACTATTAATAACCAGGAATATTTATTTTGCAAAAAAAAATCTGTTGACTGATGAACACTGGTTGTGCTTTAAATAGATATTATACGACATCTCTGCCCTTCCACTTAGGAAAGATAGAGTTCACATAAAAACTAGGATCAACAAAGCCAGCAACACGGCAACAAAAATTTAATATTGAAAGGTTCATTTAAAAAAATTATTTTCAATTCAAAGGTAAAATCAGCAGAGGCCCTAATTGTAGCTATTAGGAACATGTCATTAACAAGCCCAGATTTACTGACTGCATTGTAAAGCTCTATTAAAGGAAGCCCTGAAATTCCTTTTTCCCCATGCTTTTTCTATGTCTAAAGCCTTCAGCTATTCCATACTAGAAAATAAGAAATAATTGTATTTATTCAAATTCCTTGATAGAATATCGAAGCCTGCTCAGCTGAATACCTCTCCTAAATGAACACCATTACCAACAGATCAAAGGAGAAAAACATCTAGCAAATGAATGGGGCCGAGGACACACATCAAACGCTGAAAAGCTGAGTGTTTTGTTTTTTAGATTTTTGTTTGGTTTTTTGTTTGTTTTTTTGTTTTTTTCTTTTTTCTAATGGTAGCACATTTGCAGAGCGACAAAGCAAAGTGTGCAGTTGCCGAAATTCATAGAAGGGCACCTCAGATAGAGCGGTCGGCGGGTTAAGTTCAGCACTCCCGAGCATCAGGCGTCACTCTGGAGCTGCTGCTGCTGCAAATCCTTCACGTGACAATTCCTGACAGAGACATCCGTGGGGTTTGGGTTTTGGTGGGTTTTTTTTTGTTGTGTTTTGGTTTGGTTTGTTTTTTTTTTTTTTCATAGAATCACAGAATCGTTAGGGTTGGAAGGGACCCCAAGGCAGGGTCACCCGGAGCAGGTGACACACAGGAACGCGTCCAGGTGCGTTTGGAATGTCTCCAGAGAGAGGGAGACTGCGTGACGTAGCCCGTTCCAGAGCTCTGCCACCCTCAACGCAAATAAGTTCTCCCTCATGTTTTTTTTTCCCCTAGGATGAAAGTTTCCTTCCCTACAGGAAAAACTTTTCCCGCCGCTGGAGACACAGGCGGTTCCCGAGCACGCACTCCCCGTTCCGCGCGGTGAGGGCCGGGCTCGGCTCCCGCCCGGCTCCTCCGCCCGCCGATCCCCCGGGGCGGCCCGCGGGGCCCCGCCGCCGCCCTCAGCGCCGGCCCCGGCCCTTCCCCCGCTCCCGGCCCAGCGACCCGCGGTGCCGCGGGCCCGCCCGAGCCCGGTACCATGGAGCTGCGGCCGCGGGCAGCCGCCGGGGCCCGGCCGAGCGCTGCACATCGGCCGTGCTTCCCTTCCGGCGGGGCGGGCGCTCGGCGCCATGGGGCGGCGGCGGCTGCTGGCGGCGGCGGCGGCGCGGCTGGCGGGAGCGTGCCCGGGACAGGCGCGGTTCCTGCTGTAAGGAGCCTGCCGGGACAGGCGCGGTTCCTGCTGTAAGGAGCCTGCCGGGACAGGCGCGGTTCCTGCTGTAAGGAGCCGCGCCGGGGGTAGGGGCGGGCGGGCAGGCGGCAGGGAGAGCGCGGTGGTGACGCGCGGGGTGTCCCCGCCCGGTGGCGGTGCCGTGACGCTTTCCCTCTCTCTCTCTCATTCCCGCAGGTGGACTCTCCGCAGCTCCCGAGGCGAGTGAGGGTCCCCGGGCACACACGGTGGTACCGGGGCCGGAGGAGAGGGGCTTCGGAGCAGGGCGCTCCGGGATCTCCATCGGAGGCTCCTGCGGTGGGAGGGCAGCGCAGAGGTTGCCGAGGGGCAGGAGCGTGGGAATGCCGGCTTTCCCTTTTCCACCATTATCCCCCTTCCCTTTGCACTGCCCCCGGAGGGCTGTGCCGCGCTGTGCTCCGGGCTGCCGGAGAGCAGGGGCCAGGTGTTCCTCGGCCATGTAGAGAGAGAGGGGCTCGGGTCCGGCTCCGGCAGCAGGAGCTGACAAAGCAGATGCGGGAGCCTCTTAATGGATCCGAAAATTATTTCAAAGCGTTCCTTTATCCCAGGCTGAGGTGCGGTCGTTTTCTCGCAGTTAAGATGGGCAAAGAGCTTTACAACATTTTGGTGTCCCTGATCTGGCAAGAGCGTGCCTGTAGGGAGCTCCTTGCAGAATTGTGAGCCTCCTTTGCTAAAAGATTTTTAGACAGGAATTCCATTTTTCAGTAAAATTGCAGTTACATATTGTGTAAACTTACACCATAACCATAACCTTACCCTGAATTGTGCTTGGCTGAGCACATATTGGTGCCCAGCTTCCTGCGGCATCCTAGTTGTATCTTAAACATAAAAACAGGTACCTAGGTATTGTTGCAACTGGAACGTACTGTATGAATCTTTGCTTATAAAAATAATTATTTCATCCTTTTACCTTTATTTATCTGTAGCTAATGATCGTGGATTAGAAAGGATATGTCCTTACTGCTTCCAGTTCCTGGTTCCTGACGGCTACCGGGTGCGTCTCAAACCAAAGATGAAAGTGTCTCCACAGATAGAAAAAATTCTTAAGCGAGAAGCGAAGAACCATAAACTTAACATGAAACAGACAAAGCTTTTGAAAAAGTACAGGGAGTCAAGAAGTGTTCTGGTAAGGACATTTATTTGGGACTGACAGGTACATTACATTTCTCTACATTTCATGTCCCTATTTCAGTGGCATAAAAAAGAAGATACAGAAACCTTTCTCTCAGAAGAGGAGCCCGCACCTACACATTTCTTTTTCATGAGCATATGACTCTTTCTTTTGGAATAATTTCATAATCAAAATTTTTAAAAGCTACCCTCCCCAATAGATAAATCACGAACAATGACAAGAACAGTTAGATTCCCCTCCAAAAAAACCCCACAACCCCACATTGTCAGAAGCTACACAAACAGCTCTGCCTTCCCTATGATATCTTTAGCAGCAGTCTGGGTAGGCTCTGCAGATGTCTAAGCTCTTGCTGAAAATTAAGTAATCTTTTCCTTCCAGCAGGTCTGGTATTTCCACTGTCAGCTACTGTATCATTAGCATAGCTTTGCAAAAAATGGCAGGAATAGCAGATTTCTGCCTGTTCTTTTTTTTCCTACAAATGTGGCAGAACTAGGACCAGATGCAGAGCTTTAATACAGCCGTGTTGTAGATCCTAAATCCATTGCTAAGAATACTCCCATACCTAAGAAGCAAAACATGTCATTGACTGAAGTCAGGCTTGTTGTGATAACTTGACATTTACTGCCTTTGTTTCAATTTTATTAGTTGTTAAATTGAGGAAATATATTTTTACACAGGCTGTATTTCATTTATTTCACTAGACTCATGGCTACATCAGATTATTGTTACCTTCTGTATTAATTGATTTTTTTACATTTGTCTGAATATTACTGTTTATGTGAAATATTTCAGAACTACGGAGGTAATTTCAACAAGCTGATGTTGCTCTTGGGGCTTCAGTTATTTTTCCTAGAAGTACTCAGGAATGTGAGCTTAAATTACTATTTTTTATAATAACTACTATTTGAAGAATAATAGTATACATTTAATCTAGTGTTGCCAAGGTATGTACTAGTTTTAGAACGTGTTATGTGAATGGCTGTTGTAATAAATGAAGCAGCACCCTACTGTGCACAGCAGTTGCTGGCACACTTGGTATTTTCTTGGATTAGAGTCTACTGGTTTGGGGAGTAAAATTTGTGAAACCAAAAATTATTAAAGAGTTAATAAAACAAAACTAAA